GAGGGGGAGGGGGAGGGGGAGGGAGGAATCAATCACCCAGTTCTTTCACACAAATGACAGTTGTCTTCTGACCTAATTGTGTAAGTTTGTCATTCAGGGAATTGGTGAAGAGAGAATAAACAGGTTTCTGCTGGAAAGTTGGTAGTATGGATGCAGCCCACGAGGTGCTGAAATCTGGCCTGTGGAGTTGGCCTAGAAATAGTAAAGGACTGGCTTGTGGTGCCTCTAGCAGCCAAAATGGGGAATGGGGGGGCTCACATGGCTCCCACATCCCATTTTGGCCAACGGGGTGCTGCAGGTGGCCATCCAGGCCAAAAATGAGGCAGAGGATGCTGCAGGAGGCATCTGTCCCATCTCCCACCCTTTCTGGCCTGCGGAGGAGAACTACAATGCTGATCTGGCCCTCAAAAAAATCCAGACATTGCTAATGTTGCTGTTTTCAGGGACACATCTTCCCATACTTCTGAAACCTCCATTGAAATCCAGACTTCCCAACCTGAAAATGCCTGGTGGGACAGTTAAGTCTTGATCATGGTGTTTGGGGGCAAGGGGTGGGATGGTGATAGTACCAATGACATCAAAATGACAGGCTTGGCCGAGCAAAGTCCTCTTTTTAACGCACATCATGCCTGAGATTCTACCATTGTTGACTCATCCCTCTGCAGATGTCCTTATTCTAATATCTTCCTTTATGATACAATGGAATAGGAGACTCCAAAGAAGTTGAAGATTGATGTCAGGTATGAAGAGACAGGACCAAATGATAAGTTGCAGTTAAGGAGATTTATTGCTCAAGTCTATACACAAAAATCTAATCAACTGATTTTTGATACTAAATTGGCACTAGTTGAGAATGAACAGAATTTAAGAGGGATTGAACTTAGTCCATTTGTGGGAACGCAACAACTCTAGGCTTATGACTCACTTAACTCCACCCCTCTGTCTGCTATATTAATGATTACATACATTAATGCTACATTAATGATTAGATTAGCCATCAGTCTAGTCTTCTCATGTACACATCTTGGCTGCCATGAGAATTTCATCAACATTTTTTCTTCCTTGTATAATACTCCTAAATAAATTGTTCTTTTTTCAAATTAAATAGAATTTGTTTTCTGCTAGGTATTACTTTTACCATTCCAAAAATAAATACATTGTTTTCTCTATGGCATTTGGCCTTAGTCATGTTTTTCTAAGTTTCAGCTTGATGGAATTCTGATAGAAACACCGTTACATGGGCAATCATGCAGTTTACATCCTATGTTGTAAAAATTAATCTGTAATGGAAACATTACTCTTTGCTGTAAGTGTTCACAAGAAAGCTGTTTTTTAATACTTTATAGATGTATTAAGAGAATGTCTGAAAGCTTTATGTAATACTAGCCGATAACCCAGCATTGCCTGGGTATTTATTTATAGGGAGAAAATGTCCGGACCAAATGTAATTTCTAATGTTGGATTCCCCCCCCCCCGCACTTACCAGAGGGAGCCCCTTGTGGAGTACTGTGAAGCCATTACCATGGTAACTCCACTGCATCATACAGTAGAAGCCATTTTATGGCACAACAGGCTGTATCCTAACAGAACACACTCCCCAAAGGGTTTTAGGGGTGTCTTACCCCCACAGTATTTGTCTCCAGAGAGTAAGTCATCTGTGTACCAAGTTTGGTTGAAATTTCTCAAGACGATGGAGAGTTATGCTGGAACATACACACATAGAGCCATTTTTATATAGAGAGATTAAGGTAAATTTAGAAAGCCACCAACATCCCAAATATGGATGACCTGCATCCTTTTCAAGAGGGATGGAGGTTTTTACAAAGTGGAATAGATTCACCACAAGAAACTATTAAAACACACATAACTCAGTTTTTGTTCTAACTGTCAGCAATATCCTCAAGACAATGGTGATGCTGCAACCGTTATTTGGAAGCAGGATGTGTAATGAATTGTGTAAATCTTCTGAGCTTCGGTACTGTTGGAATCTAAGATTCAGTCATAAAAAAACTCTTCTCCTGCTACAAAAATCCAACCCCATCACTCAAGAACCAATCCATTATCAGCTGAGGAAAAACTGCCACCAGATTAATAGGTCAGATGGATCAGATGGACGGCATACCAAGTAGATACCAGACATGAAATCCAACAACAAGGTAAGCGGAATAAGGTAGCGATCCCTCTGGACCAGAAGACCTGCAATTAAAATACCATGTTTCCCTGAAAATAAGATGTCCCCGGATAATAAATCCAATTGGGCTTTTGAGCGCATGTGCTAAAATAAGGCCTCCCCAGAGAATAAGCCCTCCCAAAAATATTGCAACACAGCAGCAGCCATGAGGTGACCACCTGCACCTCAAAAATAATAAGACCTCCCTGAAAATAAGGCCAAGTGCTTATTTCGAGGGCCAAAAGGCAAACATGGTAGCTGAGTTCCAATTCACCGATATCTCTCAAAGGTCCCAATCAACATTCTGGTGGTTTATGCAAAATATTTTTTAAAAAGAGGATAAAGTTTACCCCTCAGTTATTCTTGTTAGGCATAACTACTGATTTTACTGTTGTAGAGACTAACTTGATTTTGTACTTAATAACGGCAGCAAGACTGTTGGTGGCACAATACTGGAAGAAGGAAGATTTGCCTACTATTCAAGAATGGACGTTAAAAGTAACAAACTTAGCAGAGATGNGGGGGGGAAGATCTTGAACTTTCAACTTGGTGGGAAACAGAGGAAGCTTTCAGATTCGGGTTTCCCCAGATGTGCCAACGTGGCTCTCTTCATCAATTGGGACTTTGAGGAATCCTTTGCCTCGGACTCTGATTTATTTTTGAGTGCTAGTTGGGACCCTGACACAAATGTTTGTCCGATCTCTTCTTGAAAATGTCCAGTGTTGGGGCACCCACAACTTCTGGAGGCAAGTCGTTCCACTGATTCAAGGGGCCTTGAGAAGACCCTCTTTCTGAGTGCTTCAACCCACCCACCCCTCAACTCTTAGCCCCACTGACCGACAACAAGCCAACATTTGTCCAGGAACAGAGAACTGTTGGTAAAATAGCTTCTCCGCGTAGCAAAATTGCTCACCAAAACCTGGCAGCCCATAGACTGTGGTGTGAGACGTGCATGAATCCTGAAGAATGGAAGCTGCCTTTTGCACCCTTCCTCAGGGGAGGGGGGGTCTTTCCTGCTCATCCGAGAGACCTCTTCCATTTTTGGCTCGGCACTCACCACCGTTCTCCGTTCTTCCCTAGATTACCGCACGGGCCCCTGCTTCAGCCAGGTGAACAAGCAGATGTGCCAAGGCCAGCTGAGCGGCATCGTCTGCACCAAAACCATGTGCTGCGCCACCATCGGCCGCGCCTGGGGCCACCCCTGCGAGATGTGTCCGGCCCAGCCCCACCCTTGCCGCCGCGGATTCATTCCCAACATCAGAACCGGAGCCTGCCAAGGTCTGTGGGGTGTTTGGGGGGGGGGTGAGCCAGCCGGGTTTTCGCCACAGCGCCCGGTCCAAAAAAATCAATATGGCGACCACAACGGTACGGCTTACAATCGGTGGCTTAGTGACCACGTAGGCCGTGTTCCGGGATCCCTTTTTGCCACCGTTTGACGAGCAAAGTCCACGGGAAAACCGGATTCGCTTAACGGCCCTGTTCCTAACTTGAGACCTACAATGGTCCTTTTAACGACGGTGGCGAGAAAGTTCGTGAAACCAGGTCGAATTCACTTCGCAACTGTGTCGCTTAGCCACGGAAATCCGGGGCTCGATTGTGGTCGTGAGTTGAGGACTGGCTGTAAGGGAGAATCCCACGTAGCTCGGGGTGGAAAGGGTGGGAGAGCTTCTGGAAAGCGTGACGGCCTTCGGAGGCCCTCTCCTCTCTTCTCCTGGGGGGAGGTGGGCTCACTCACTGCTGGGGGTCCTTATTCTCTCCCTGCAGATGTGGACGAGTGCCAGGCCATCCCCGGATTGTGCCAAGGGGGGAACTGTCTCAACACCGTGGGCTCCTACGAATGCAAGTGCCCGGCGGGTCACAAGCAGAGCGAGACCAACCACAAGTGCGAAGGTGAGGAGGCTCAGGTGGTCTTGGGGAGGGGGGAGGGGTGTGAAGGATGCCAAGGGACTCTTGTCTGGCTGCCCAGAAGGACCCTGGGGTGCCCTGGGGGTTCCAAAGAGGCCGGAGCTCCGAAGATGGTTGGAGAGGGCGAGAAACAACAGGTGGAAACTCATCGAGGAGAGAAGCAGCCAGGAATTAAGGAGAAACTTCCTAACAGTGAGGACAATTCACCAGTGGAACTGCTTGCCACCAGAGGTTGTGGGTGCTTCATCACTGGAGGTTTTTTAAGAAGAGGTTGGACAGCCACCTGCCTGACATGGCGTAGCAGGGGTCCCCTGTTTGAGCAGGGGGCTGGACTAGAAGATCTTCAACGTCCAGCTCTCTCCCTGATAGAGAGAGAGAGAGATAGACAGTACATATATCTATGTCTACGTACATAAACTGTCATCTATAGATATAGATATATAGATATAAATATATAGATATAATCTATAAATATAGATACAGATAGAGACACATACGTAAACATATAATCTATAGATGTAATTATATATAAATATAACGATATAGATATAATCTCTAAATATAGATATATAAAGATAGAAAGAGAGAGAGCTACATATACATACAGATATAATCTATAGATAGATATAATGGATGGATGGATGGATGGATGGATGGATAGATAGATAGATACATAGAAAGAAAAGAGAGAGAGAGGGAGAGAGAGAGAGAGAGAGAGGAGATATAAGGGAGAGATACACATATACATATAGATATGCTATAGATAAATACAATGGATGCATGGATAGATAGATACATAGAAAGAAAAGAAAGAAAGAAAGAAAGAAAGATAGATAGATAGATAGATAGATAGATAGATAGATAGATAGATAGATAGATAGATAGATAGATAGATAGATGAATGAGATATAAGGGAGAGATACGTATATACATATAGATATAAGCTATAGATAAATATAATGGATAGATGGATGGATAGATAGATACATAGAAAGAAAAGAAAGAAAGAAAGAAAGAAAGATAGATAGATAGATAGATAGATAGATAGATAGATAGATAGATAGATAGATAGATAGATAGATAGATAGATGAATGAT